TACTAAGCTTCTAATCTGTTACAAGTTTAAACCAGTTTCTCATCACTTAAACTGGTTTATGTGCAACTTCTGTCCCTAGCCTGAATGATTACGACGGTATTTTTTTTTTTATGTATAATAGAAAGCATTCTGTATCTAAAAGTATTAAGATATAAACTTCAGAACATTTCTGAAAAAATCTCTACCATAAAGCAAAAACAATATAATCCAAAAGTTAAAAGAATAAATCGTGCTCCCTATACTTTAGGAAACTGCATATTGATGTGCAAAAGATTCTACCAAGGCAGCCTGAGCATAAAAAAGTGCTTTCAATAAAAAAAAAGATGACAGTAGCTGATAGCTGGATCCTGTGAGACCTATGAAAGATTTACCTTCCACATTCAGTGAAGTTTCAAAATTAAAATACTGGCTTAGCATCAACTCATCATCTCATATCCTCCAAACTTCAGCAAAGACCCATGAAGCCAGAAAGCAGCTTCCAGCATCAGACTGACAAACCAGTACTGTACTGGCAAACATGACATCATAGCAAGTTCTATGCCATTGGCAAGGTGGAATTTGTGAAAGTATTACTGAGAATCATATTTAGTTTGTTCTTGAAGAGGATTTTCAGCAAAGTTTAAGGTATTAAAAACCTTTTCAACTGTATGCCAGATAACTTCTCTGCAAGGATATGAAGTATAAAAGCTAATCTTGGTAAACAGAAAAAGACTGAGATTTAATTTTAGTTCAAGATTTTTAAACTTCAAGATAGCAGTTTCAAAGCTGTTCCTTAACGCAAGTTGGTGGATATGTATCATTATATTACATGAGCAACACTTCACTGGCTTCTTTTAAGCAACCAAGTTAAATATTTATTCATGTTTATAAGCTTTAGCTAGATCACATACCTTTTCCTCTATGATATGTAGGTTTACCAATTTTTAAATAATGTCCTTACCTGTCCCTCGTCCCCTCCCATGATAAACAGACCTGACTCTGTCATATGGGGAAAAAAGTACTGGTACTACACATTTATACACTATGGTAGACCACTTCTGAAAGCTTTCCACCATGAAACATAGCAAGAGATTGTGCCAAAGTAGCCGTCACTTAATGCTTGCCTGCTATTTGTTTCTTCTCTTTTTCTTAATTAAATATGCCTAGTCAATTACTATGACTATCTTCTATGTCCTTCAGCAGTGTCCCTGAAGGCATGGAAAAACTGAGAGACTGAAATAGAAGTCTTGAACTGACATTATAAGAATTAAGTTTTAACCTACAAGTGGTCCACAATTTCCCCATTTCCAAACTGTACACTTTTTCAACCAAAACTGGGGGAGAAAAATTACTTTATGCTTAACATTTCTGCCAAAAATTCATTTTACCTCCATATTATACCCCCATAAATACAAATATGGCTTTGCATTACCAGTTTGTAACACTTTTTTTTTTTTTAATAAAGGCATTTTTAGTGAGCTTCTGATAAAAAAATCCTTACTTTTTTAATATTTCCTTTTTAAAAGGAAAAAAATGTCAGCTTTTGACGTGAGCAATCAGTTCTTTCCTATAGTGACACAGAAAACCAGAATTCAGTGTTGACAGAAGTTTTTGGAGGTTAAGAACCACCTTGCATGGTAGACTAATGCCAAGAAGCAAATCTCCCAGTTAATACTAATGCTATACCTTGTTGTGTAGTGATCTCCTCTATTTTTCTCTCTCATATCAAGGAACAGCAATACATTTTTTGGTTAGGGAATTAAATGCATTCAGCTGAATCAAATAGAAATACAAAATTCACATCTTCTAAATACCTGCTGGAAGTAACATTATGAGATTCCTTTTTAATGGGAATCAGAAAATACACACTCAGCTGTTATCCCCTAAAATGGGGGACAGCTTTAACAAAAGCAGAATTACTAAGGACATATATAAGAGTAAAAGGAAGAGAAAGAGCATACTGGGATGAAAACAGAAAAGGCAAGGCATGAAGGAAATAGCATATTCCACACGTGAATCCCAAATAAGTGCATCATTCACTTAACTACATTAGCCAATCCCGATTTGTTGTCTATTGTTTACATTATATTAGACAACTACTTTCTGCATCTGTTAAATATACAAACTGCTTGGGCACATACGATTGTTCAGCCCTACTCTGCAACTTAATCATATTCCAATGATCTGCATAGTAACTTTATGTGCCAACTAGGTAACTAACTATACTCCCTTTAAGTGCACCAGAGAGACTGAAGGGGGAAGCAAAGAATTAGAAGCCTTGAAAATGATGGGACCTTCTCAGTAACATGGCTGTTACTTGCCTCATTTTCAAAGCTTCTAACTGCGACCCCAAAACAGGCTATTAGAAGCCTTGAACATAAGGGGCCCATATCAGTTTCAAGTGCTGTGCTATGAGCAGCCCTAAGGGCAGTGTGCTTTATGAGTACCGTTTAAATGGCATTTAGATAAATGCATACTCCAGGCAAGTGAAGAAAAGCCTTTTTCAGTCCCATCGCTATACACTTAAATAGAAGGATCCATACCTTCCGTGTCCCTTGCTAGCTCAATAAACCAAAACAAAACAGTTGACAGTATGTCTACTCCTCCTCTGCAGTACTACTTCAAGATCACCACTGAAACATAATGCACCACACTGAGAACTGTCAGTAGTTTAGGAATGGCCAGACCTACTTGAAGGAGCACATCTGAGACAGATCCTGACTGGGTCCCCAGGCATGCTCCAAAATGCAACCACACAACCTTTTAATACAAGCAGCATGGTTTGTACATGTGGCTCGGGGTAAGTTTTTCTACCAAGAGAACAAACCTGGAAGAATTCTTCTAGATTATCTGAATGCGTGTACACAGCCCTAAATAATTTTTTTTCTAATGTCTGAAACAGGATGAAATCCAACTGGGGCAAATACAAAGTACCACAATTAGGAAGGAGCAGTCAAATGCACAAATACACAATGGGGAATAACAGACTAGGCAGAAAAGCACTTGGATGATAAAGGATTAGCTAAACTAAATATAAAAGTCAATGCTGCAACAACGTCTCAAAAAAGGATAAAAGAACACTGGAATATATGAACAAGAGTGTTGCATAAAAGTCTCACAAAGTGATTTTTCCACACTCATCAAGTATTAGTGAGGCCTTGCCACAAGTATCCTGTGGGGCTTTTGGCAAGAAAGATGTTGCCAAACTGGAGAGGAACAAAAATGATTAGAGGTCCATAACACATGACATAGGAGGAAAACTGGAAGAAAGGAGCTTCTCTATTTAGTCAAGAGAAGACAAGAAAAGACTGAAAGGAATTAGGTAAGTCTTCAAATTTAAGAGAGAATGGGGATAAATTGCTTTCTTTGTCAAAAGGATACAGGACAACAAACACAGAGCTTATACTGTAAGTTAGATTTAGGATAAATATTACAAAGAACTTTCTAACTCAGAAGATGCTTAAACACTGGAACAGATCATCTAGAAATAGGGGTACACCAATAAAAGTTTTGGGGCCGATACCGACAGCCGATATTTAAGGAGGCATATCGGCCAATACTGATCTGATATCCAATACAGCTGCCATCAGGTGGTAAGTCCGGTGTGGTGAAAGGAGAGGGAAGGAGTGTAGAGGGGGGCAGATCAATGCCCCCCCGTGGTGAGGGAGGGGCAGCTGGGGTGGGGAAGGGGTGTGGGATGGAGACACAGCTCACAGTGTGGAGGCAGCTCCTGCTGCTGCTTGCACCTGGAGAAGATGGAGGGCATGGTGGGGATGAGCATATGCCCCCAGATCTGTGTGGTACAGTGTGGGCTGCAGTGTGGAGCTGGTGCTGCGCGGAGCTTTTCTTGCTGGGGGCTGGGCTTGGAGTGGGCTCCAGCGGTGCTGGGAGGAGGCTGCAGTCACCCCAGATTTCACCACAGCACCACTCCTAGCCCCGCACCATCCCAGCTTTTCCTGGCGCTTGGGTGGAGGTGGGGCGTTCAGCTGGGGCTGTACTGGGTGGCAGCACAGCAAAATCTGGCGTGACTGCAAGCAGTGGTAGGAGCTGCCTCAACCCCATGAGCTGCATCTCCATCCCACCCCCATCTCGCCCCCCTCCTGGGCAGTGCCTGACTCTTTCCCCTCCTTCCCTCACCGTATAGGCATTGATCTGCCCCCCATACCCCCTTCTCTCCCCCTCCCAACGCAGCACAGGCATTTATAAGCCAAATTATTGGCCCCGTCAGGCCCCTATCTGATATAGACAATTTTCTTTATATCGGTACCGATCCGATATTGGACCAAAGTATTGGTGCACCTCTATCAAGAAAGGATGCAAGTCTCACCAGAAGGGTTTGTTTGTTTGAGTGCAGGTTAAACAAATGTTTGTATGGGGCGGCTTGTATGAGCATAATTCTCATCTAAGCAAGGGACTGAAGACCTCAGCAGACCTCAAGGGGTTATCTAGCTCCAGCTCTGTTTTTCCTTGAATCTATGGTTCTGTTTCCAACAACACAACAACAAAAAAAGCAGAAAAAAAGCATTCCCAGTTTTGCTCCCAACGTTTTAAGACTTTGTGAGTTCAGTTTGGCATTTGAATAAGATAATAATTACAAAGTTTCCTTCAAAAAGCAAAATCAATAATAAGCTAACTACAGTGAGTTTGGCAGCAGTACTTTTCTAGTAAAAATTATGGCATAACTTGCTTATATCTATAAAATTTTACTAAGGGTTCTACAGACAGTCTTACTGCTTTTTCCTCAGAAGACAAAAAACTGAAAATTCTCCATCCTAGCTACCTGATAGCTAACAAAATGTATTAGCAGAATTCTAGCTTACATTGTAAATAGGACAGTCTTCAAAATGAATTTCAAAGCACCTATCTGGCAATACAGAATTGCAAAGCATTTTAAATTCCCTTTAAGAGACATTTTACTCTCAACAGACTAGAGGTCAGCCATATTTAGAAAACCACCTACTACTTCTTGATGTTATTAATATATCATCAAATAAAACACTTAAAGGTGGGACGCATGTTACCTTCATGTTTTTCCAGTGCCTGAACAACATTAGGCAGCTGGTTAATAGCTTGATACATTCGGTAACAATCTTGCAAGGTTGCAGCTTGTCTCTGAAATTTCTTTGCTAGCCGATTGAGGTCTGGAAAACGACGCAGAAGGTCTTCTTGAAGACACTGCCGTAGCTCTGTGTCTACCACAAAGGTCTCCACCAAATTTAACCTTCACGAAAATAAATCAAGACAAGAATTAATGCAAATTGGCAAGCCTTCATAGGAGTAAATCAAAATGAAAAGCGCTACTGAACTATAAAAAAAGAAAGTATATAAGAGCTTTGAATACTTTTTAATTTAGTCACACCCATTGCCAACCCTTATGAATTGAACCAGTGAAGTTATGACAATGCAAGAGACAAGACCAAGTAAGATTTTTAGATGATTTAAGCCATGCTTTTGGTAACATCTACAACTTGAATGTCTAATGAACGTTTCAAAGAGAAGATGTCTTAAGTAATCAAAACACCCCTAACCTCTGCAATAAAGGTGTGAAAACTCACAATACACCTTTCCCTGAGGTTAAGCCCCCACCTTCCTCCCCAAAGCAGCAATCCTCCAGCAAACTGAGAAAGGCAGAATTTACATTCTATTATATTTCTAGCAAGGAGAAAAGAGCACAAAAACCACATACTATTTAAACCTTTATACAATATGAAACAACAAAAAGTTACTATTCCAATGCAATAAAATCCTTTTCATTGTAGTGAGATGCTGCAACAACTGAAAGATAAACAACAAAAAGGTGAAGATAATTCATTCCTCAACCAACTCTCCATACTTTTGCAAATTCTAGAAGCATTCCAAAGCTTTTGGCTTTTCATCTACAAAGGGACTGTCATGATAAAATTAAATGCTTGATAAAAACTAGCTTATATTTGTATAAACTATTATTAATAATAAAGTATTATTATTTTTAACACAGTTACAAAATGCCAAAAAAGGGGGGAAATATTCTTAAAGGGTTGTAAAACAAGAAGCAAGTCTGCCATCTTATGCCAATCGATGGAGTACCGGATAATATTTTTCCACCACATGGTAATATAGTCCGCAGATTCCTCTAGAGCAAGAGTGGGCAAAATGCGGCCCATGGGCCGCATGGGGACCGCCAGGCCATTCTATCCAGCCCGCACAGCCCCTAAAATATTTAGAGAATTAATATTTATCTGCCCCTGGCTGCCTGTCATGTGGCCCTTGATGGCTTGCCAAAACTCAGTAAGCAGCCCTCTGCCCAAAATAATTGCCCGCCCCTGCTCTAGAGAATAATTCATCTTCCCATAATGTAGTGTCCCCGTCAACATCTTTTAACAAATGTTTATTTTCTTGCTTTTGCAGGAAAGTAAAAGGACTCTTGTCCCCCACCTGTGTGCACCAAGTTGTTCTTTGCTCATATTTTAAGAGTGTACATTAGAAACAAAGAATTATACTAACATACCTGTAGCATTAAAAGATGCACCTAGGTCTACACACAAGGACAGAGTCAAGCGACTTTGAAACACCTGACATCAAAACACAGCACAGCTGAGCTAGCTTCTTTAAAATCACATCAACACAGAAGAGTTTTACCTTTAACAACAATATTATGGTGGTATGTGGGAGGAAAAAGGTGCAGTTTCACTGCTTTTTTGCCGCTGCTCTGCAAGCTGGCAACAAAGTACTGTGGCCTGAATAGGCAGCCAGTTACAGCAGCTTCAGAAATGTCATTTTCTTAAATGAATTTCTAGAACAAGGTGTGGAAACCCCTAGGTCTGTTGAACATACGTTTTTTCAAATATATGAAGATTTTAATGGAGGCATCTCTAAGCCGCAGAAAAACGTTCCATTTCAACCAACCCTATGAAATCAGTGTTATAACTGAATCTATTAAACAAAATCCATACTAAAATACTTTATGAAAAAAAGTAGTTAAGAGTATCCCTTAAATAGGTTTCAGATAAATATTGAAATCTAGGCTGCTTCTCTATAATGTGAACTAGCCTGGAAAGGAAATGTGTGCATATTTTACTTAGGAAAGAAATCCTGAGCGTTTTGTACACCTACAACTTTTTTTTTCAGACAACGTTATTAAAAACATAAGCATGTAAACAGAGGTGGTGGGAAGTGATCTGAGATCCATTAGAATATCCCCGTTAATCTACATTACCGCTCTCTAAGTAGGAACGTGACCTATGATAATGGTTCTGAAATGTATTAGATTGGCAAGGCTGCAGTTGCTAGGCAAACAATTTCTGGCCACTCTTAAACCACCTCTAGAGCTCTCCAAATTTTTGCAGTCGCCTGTCATTCAGGATTGTTCTGCAGCCAGGTCAGTCACTTGGTCGTAGCCCTCTATGTAGCAATTAGGTATGACAGGCTCAGACCTGGTAGTTCTGTTCCTGTGACTGAACAGCCTCCTTAAACATAAAGTATTATTTGCTTAGAAGAAAAATATTTGGGCAATCTGGATACAAGATGCAGGACCAAGGAAATGCCATTGGTTGCTGCTTACACCCACTTGCACATCCCCATCTGAGAATGTTTGTGCAACTATTACATCTCCATATTCAAAGTACGGGGAAAGGATTATACTTCTACCTGACATATGTGGAGCCAAACTCAGAAATGGAGATTTGCTATGCATTCATCTGGACGCTATGTCAGCTTTATTTGAGCGACAGCAGGGGTATCAAAGATATGGCCCAAAGGACCTATCACCTGGCCCACAGTGGAGCCCGTGGGTCTTGGGGTTGACCCAAATGCAATGTGCGTTGAATTATCTCCATGCATTGCATATGGAACCCACAATGAGCTGATCCAGGCCAGGCCAGGCTCTAGATCTGAATACACAGCTCAGCCCACAGGGCCAGCCTCGCATCATTCATCCAGCCCAGGGACTGGTACTAAGCGATTCATCTGGCCTGCAGGGCCTAATTCGTTTGACATGCCTGAGCTACAGTAAAGCAGAATATTTCTTGCAGGGGGTTATGAAGAAAACACTAAACTCTCTCATAAACTTCTCTCTCTAGCAGTCTTTTACAATGGGCCATGCAGTAAGAAATTTCAGTTTTGAGATGAGCAGGAGTCCAGCTTAACAGTTTCATTCTACCAAGTCCTAAGTGGAAATATTATATAAACCAAATTACTACTGAACATAAAAGACTTCCATACTGGATCACAGCATTCAGTCTAGTATTCTGCCTGACAATGGCTGGTCTCACATCTTCAGTGTCACCAATGTCAGTCACTTTAATGGCTTAAGCAAGGCTGTAGAAGTGCAGCTAAGCAATAGGCCTGAAGTCATCTTGAAACTCTAAATAACCACAACATGAATCTGATAAGCATTACAAATGGTACATCACCAGGACATTAAATGAAGCAACATGCCAAGCTAAGCAAATACAAAAATATGCTATTCAGGTTAAGCAACAAAAAAGTATAAACAGTTTGCTAGAAAGCTTTAACCTAAGACTGAATTAATAATGGTATAACAGGTAAAAAACAAAAATTGTAAATAATGGATATACACACAAGAGGTAGCCATAGTTATACTGCTAATAATTTGTGAATGATGTAAACTTGTGTAGTTTACATATTGCTATATCATAGCGGTAAGCGTATGCTAAATTTTCTTAATCAAACATCTAGAAATAAATATAAGCGTGTGGGTGGGGGACTTCATCTTTCCCATGTCAATCTTTCCCCAGATGTGAAGGTACAGATGAGAACTGGTATTCTGCTGTAATGGTATGTATCTTATTGTTTACTCCAAAAGTCAGGCCGAAGATCTGCTTCCTGCCTCTTAGCAGCAGCCAATCCATCAATAAACTTAAAAATGCAGTAAGAGGCAGGTGTGCCTTTTCATACCTGCACAGGCTCCCACCCTGGGGGTTTTTAAGAAGAGGTTGGATGACCACCTTGCTGAGGTCATTTGACCCCAGTGCTCTTCCTGCCATGGCAGGGGGTCGGACTAGATGATCTGCTCAGGTCCCTTCTGACCCTAGAAACTATGAAACTATACTCTTAATTTTCCTTATATTGGTAGCAATCCAATACGGGACCAATGTATTGGTGCACCTCTAGTAGGAATAGTTAAACTTTTCCTTCCAACATGAATTAGTTTACATTTATCAATACTGAAATTCAATTTGCTGTATTTCTGCCAAGTCACCTAGCTGGCTTGGGTTTCACGGGAAATTCAGGTTCTCTCTAAACCCTGACCCAATTTGAACAACTTCAGAAAAATCTGCTGGAAACCATGGAAAACCATGCTGGTTAGAGACTCTAATACAGTGGTTCCTAAACTTTTTCTGCCGCAACCCGCTGCTGAGAACAGAGTGTGGCAGCAGTGGTGGCTCAGCAGCAGAGGAGCTCTGAGCAAGTGGCGTGGCTCATCCTTTGCGTGCAGCACCACTGGCATAGCCCCCACGACCCTCATTTGGGTCACAACCCGAAGTTGGGAGCCGCTGCTCTAGTATCTCATGGCTTTCCACATTTATTCTGTTTGTATTTACCATTTCAATAAATTTGCAAGGGGCCATTATGCAGAGGGCTGGCAGTAGTATTCTTCATAGCTTTTGCTGGCTGCTTGCAGGAGCCAGGACGGATTTCCCCCCAGGATAATTGCTTTATTGGCTTCTCCTATGCTCCCTCTGCCAAAGCTTCCTTCTGAGTTCCTCTGAAGCAGTGGTCACACCTAAGTCCGGGGGTTTTGACTGGGGTACCTTGATGCTCCTACAGGTACTCAGAAAACTCAGAGATCCCCAACTAAAGGATTTTGCTGTTCTGCTTAGGGTCATGCTGATTACCCAACCTGGGGTAAAGAAGGGATTTTCTACCCAGGTCTAATTGGAAAGGACCAGGGAAATATTTGTTTTTCTCAGTAATGTAAAAGGGTATGGTCCTATCCCTAGGATCCTCTGATCTTGTATTATGGACAACTGGTCCTCTGGTATCACAGTGGCAGGGTACTGGCTGTCCCTTCCCCGGCTGTAGCACGCTTACAAGGCATAAAAGCAGATATACGAGTTGCTGTACGTGAGGGTTTGGAGTGGGTTTTTTTTGTTTTTTTTTTTTAAGAAATCATGGGTGAATGGCTGTCTGTGACTCAGTGGCTCAGGATGCCCCTTGCAGCTAGTTCCAATGCTACTAAGTACAGGTATTTTCTTTGTTATATTCTTCCAGTTACTGGAA